ATAGAAACCTGTCAGCTGCCATTTGTGACAGAAGTTTGCATGTACTGTTTTTGAAAAAAATATAGGAAATAAATTACTCATTTGTATGATGGGCTAGAATTTGCCACCCTTTAATACTAGGACACATGCCTTCATGGTAGGACTGACAATTTTATGTGGGATGACTGTTCTATTTTAGCGAAATGACCCCTCACTTCCATATAGCACTATGGAGTTTGCAAAGACCTTTTATATTCATGATTATATGTTCTGACAGATACCAGTTTTAGCAATAGCCCTAAAATGATTGAGTTGCAAATAGAGGAAGAGTACTTACTATGTAAGGAAGGCAAATAAATAGAAACTTATGTCATTACACAAGAATGTGGAATTTTCTAATTTCAGGCAGCAAGAGATCCAGAGGCTAAATAATGGCACCAGAATACTGTCTTCCTGTCTCTCCCTGTTTCTTTCCTGTTTTCTTTTCATAGCTTTTCTTTTCAGTTCATGCTTTGCTCGTGTGGTAGCAAGCATGGTTAGGAATAGTCAAGAGTAGCAGTCAACTCTCCACTGAATCAACCTAGCTCACGGGTGGGAAGAAAAGGCCTCTTTCCTGATAGCACAGGCTCAGGGTGCTTTCTCATAGTTCAGGCCAGGGATATGTGTCCATCCCAACCTGTGGCCAGGACATATTGAGCAGCAGGGGAAGTCAGTCCCCCAGAGACGGAAAGTGGGAGATTAGATGCTTGATTCTTTAAAAGAAAAGGAAGGGATGATTGGTAGGGAGTAGAATGGAAGTCTGTCATAAAATTACAATTAATTACATTTCCTCATTAACCTCACCTGAGGTTAAAAGACTTGTTTAATATTACAGTGAAAACTTGAGTTTTGGACTATTGAGTCCTTTTATTCCCATGATCTGTTATTTAAAGGATGATAGTAAGGATGTTTTACTCTAAAGAATGATAATAAGAATGAATTTCTAATACAATTCAACCCAAAGGAGTGGAACGTGCATGCGATGAATCATATTTTAAATGAGCATTTACTTTATCAATGGTAGATGGCTTTGTTTGAGTCTGACAGCAGCTCCATCTGTCCATGCAGACTTACTAAATAGATGTTAGCAATTTGTTGACAAGGCCTTTCTCCCTCTCATATAAGCTTGGATGTAGTTTTTTTTTTCTCACACATGGAGGATAGGACTTAACTTGGGAGTAGGGGCAGAATTGACTGAGGGGTTGAGAGCCAAGATGCCTAATGCCACATGGAGAGCTTTGATCCTTTGGGGTAAGAAGACTCCAAAGTTTGTATTCTTCCTGAAGATTGTCCACTCCACTAAGCCTTCAGAGTTCTTTACTTTTAAAAGGTGAAAAATTTACATGACTGTTTTTGAGAAAAGTCACAACTTCTAGGACTTTGGGCAGGTAGAGGCAGAACGAAATGTTTTGTGAAAATGGCCAGTGTGTATAATATACCCATTCAATAAGAAAAAGTGTGTAGGAAGTACTACAGTATGCAAAGAAGGATGCATATGGCCTGTTCTGATGTACCGCAATGTGCAAGGTAGGTGACATATTTTAAAGAGCCTCATGAAGGCTTTAATTCTCTATTAAGACTTTCATAGATTTAAGTGTATCACTTCTAGAAACTTAGATGTACTCTGCACAGGAAATTGATGTGCTCTGAGCAAGGGAGATAAAAACATGTCTTTTCTTCAGGAAACAAGATTAAAGGCACATTTAAGTTTGCAAAAAAATATAGCTCACTACCTAAAGTGTTCCTGGACCCCGAAAAATATTTTATTAACTTGTACATCTATTCTAAAACATTTCACTCCTAAATTCTTTTTTCTGGTCCCAAACTTTGTGTGGTTAATGCTCCTCTTCCACACTTGTTGGCCTTGAGAATTATTATTAGGAAGTAAGAGTTGTTTAAAACTTGCAGGAAACCCTGCCCTGTACTTTCCCAGCCCTCTGGCCCCTAAAGAACTGTGCTTCGTTTTATGGAGTGGCACATTTCTCTTTGGCCTTACATGGTCACCGGGCAAATAGCTTGTATTCTGAAATTAATAGAAATGCCAAGATTTAACATTTTCAGTCTCCTTGTATAGGGAATGCTATTCTTTGTCTTTTCTTAAGGCCATATTTCATACTTAGATCACTATTGGCCTTGCCCTTCAAGTCCTGCAGGTATCTGAATTCACGCTCCAAAGCTTACCCATTTCCTTCCCTCATTTAATCTTAACTCCAATGCTGCATGCAAGCTACTTCTTGAGTTTTGTTCAAAGAACTTCAAATGAGAAAACTTGGTTGTGAAAAGAGTATTTCTGTTCTTATCACATTCATTGTGCAACATAACCTCCACATTGAAATATACGCTAATATGAATCAGATAATTCAGGGCCAATTTGTTGCATTTGGGGATTTATAATCCTCCTAGAACCCAGACACCCACAGGGGAAGCCTTCATGCACCCATCCTTGAAGTTATACAGTTGAAAGCTCTAGTATGGGGGTGAAGATCCTTCCTATAGTCAGCTCCTCAGAGCCAGAGCTGCTAGAAAGGTTTGGTGTTCAGCTTCTTGGCATTGAATCAATTTCCTCCCTCCCACTCTCCCTCCCTCCCTTCCTTTCTTCTCCTCTTCTTTATTTCCTTTATTGTCTGACGATGTCTCATTAATCCCTCAATCTATCTATGGTATATCATCTATTTCTAAACCATCACTAAGGTTATATTTAGAATTGGGAGACTTATACCTTTGAAATCTGACCACTTAGAGTTCCTGCTGGTGATGTTAGACAAAATAATGACATATGATTATTTTTAAGGGTAGCAGAGGACATTATTATGGCTTTTAAGCTTTTTAGGCCAGGAGCTTTAGATTGCGTATCTTACATCATTTTAAAATTGTTAAAATTGTTAGAAAACTCTGAAATGGAAGCTTCCAAACATTAACATACTTGAGGAGAACTTTACAGATCAAAGCAGAGTCATGAGCTTTAACAAGTGGTTAGAAAATAAAGTAACTCAATCAGGTTTGAAAGGAAGTACATTATGATAGCTGTTGACATGTGTTCTTTTCAGTGATGATTATGTATTATTATTTTATTATAATAATTAAATTATTAAAGATAAACATAAAGGCTCAATAAGTCTGAACAGTAAGTATTACACTTTTAACATTGTTCGAGTAAAGAAATTACTTGATTCTCTCTCTCTCTCTCTCTCTCTCTCTCTCTCTCTCTCTCCACACACACACACACACACACACACACACACACACACATACTTCAAATTTTCCACAAGTATAATTTACACTCCAGGTAGTAATGATATTCCAGCAACTCTGAATGACTCTATTCTTAGGTTCTCATTAGCAGAAATAGGTATTTCTGAAACTACTCAGATTTCCCAAAATAAGAATTCAGACAAGAAGTTTAAAAAGTTAAAAAGCTAAAGAAAAAAATTAAAATTTTATTCCCAGAAAACCATTGAAGGAACCTGTCCATTTGTAAATTTGGATGTTTAGCATTCTCAGATGGAGTTTAGTAAGAGGGTCCAGGCACAGTGGTTGGTTTTTAGGATTCTGTGTGGAACAGGTATTCGGACTTGACTTTCAGGGTCTGGTTTTTATTTTCTTATTGTTTTACTCTGTAGTTCACAGCTATGTCCTAAGCTCTGGAATCATGGTTTCCACTGATGTTAAGAAAGGCCTTGGAGATTCTTAGAGCATTAATAAATTTGATCCCTTATTTCTTATGCTAATTGATATTTACTCTAGGCATGTGGTATATCTCACAATGGGGACAAAATTCTCTGAATGAAAGGGTTTGGTTAGCCCGGGCAATCAGTTAATCTAGCTTTCTGATCCCGACACTTGCACTGGATTTCCACATGACCTTAGGAGGTGGATTAAACTGTCAATGCTATAATCAACCAGGACTTAAACTTGGGCTAAGCTTACAGAAATCATTTTTGTCTTGTTCTTAATTAATACCTGCCAAGAGGCTGGCAGGATTTGCTCCTGAACATAAGGAATTATTTGGACATAAATCTACATTTTAATTTCTAACACATTTTCTCATGTAGGGAAATATGGAAGCTAAAACTTGCCTCAAACAAATGACAAACCAAATTATTTACTTTATTATTGTAATATTATTAACAAAGATGTTTATTTTCTTTAAGTTTATAAGAGAGGTTTAATTTGTATATTATAATTTTAATAAATATTTTAAAAATATATTTTTTTATTTTTGTAATAATAACTTAATATTTAATGTATACCTCTTATTTCCAGGCATTGTCTTAGAATATATGTATTTATACCTAGCTATATACATGTATACATGTATGCATATATATATACATATACATTTCTTTTCTTTCATTACTCTTCCTTTTATTTTATATAAATAGCTCACAATATATATATATGATATCATATATATATATATAAATATCCCTGAAACCTTTCTTGTACACATAGAACTGAACTGAATCATAGGATAGTAAAAAATTTACAAGGTCATCTACTTAGTAAGTAGAAGAACTAGAATTGAAACCTAGTTAGTCAGTTGACAATCTACAAGAACATAATTAAACTAGCCTTAGTTACTTAATAATAAAAGAAACACTTTTATAAGGATTATTTTGTAATGGACACTACCACAAATACTTTCTTTTCTTTTATTACTCTTCTTTCCTTTTATCTTTTATCAGGTTCCCAACATTTTTTTCTCTTTTATTATTAAGTAGTAATTTACAAATTTGCATGTAAATTTTGAAAATTATATACCCTAGAGTAATCCCTGCCATACCTGAGATAGGGAATGGGCACATCACTCCAAAATTTCCTCCTGTTGCCCCTTTGTAGTCAATCTCTCAGCTGAAGTGTCTGGCAATAACATGCATACAGTACGCAATCTTTTAAAGCATTTGCTTATATTATAATATTCATTAAGCCTCAAAGAAAATCTAGGACATTGGTAATATAATATTGCTATTCTCCTTTTATAGATAAGGGAGTGCGGCACAGAGGGGACAAGTGAATTTCCCACGTCTGCACAGTAAGTAGTAGATCCAGAATTTGAATGCAGGCAGCTTAGCCTCAGAATCCATGCCTTGAACTGTGTGTGTGTGTGTGTGTGTGTGTGTGTGTGTATGATATAAGATGCAACATATATAAGAAACACCATCTTATACATGTTAGCAATTGAAGGTTTTGATCAACTACTGTGAGCAAGGCTCTGGGTTATGTTTTTAGCAGACTTAATTATTTTATAAACTCTCCCAAGGTATTATTCTCATTTAATGGAAGAGGAGATTAGGTATTTAGAGCAAACATTTTTGAGATAGAAAGATGAAATGGGGGAGATAAAGAACTTTTCCAAACTCACAAAATTAATAGATGAATAATGAGTTCAATTCTGATCTGTCTGATTTTAAGACTCACACTATTTTCCCCATATCATATTGTCTTTGAGTTTCTCTTTATACATTGTTTTTGTGTGGGTTCTGTGCATTAGGGACATTAAAATATTCATGAGAATGTGGACAGCAGCAAGACTAAACTAGCATTACTTTAAGAAGGGAATGAATAAAGCAAAAAAATTTGACTCCAGTGAGTGATATCAATCGCAATATATATCAAATGAAAAACAACTCATCAAAGAATAGGCATAGAGCTAAATAATGAAAAATTATAATAAATACCACCAAGTTTTCTTTCTTTAAGCTATTTTCAAAATAAGCACATGTATATGCATTTATGTTTCAAAAATATACAAATCTATTATTGTTACTCATTCAAAATTTGTCTTGATAAATGGCTTCTCCAATTAATTTTCACTCTAAATGATGATAGCCAGAATCATATCTTGCCAGTTTGAAAGCTTACTAATAAATAACAGAATTAATTATTTTCCGTTCTGTGGTGTAATGAACTATTTTTTTAAACTTAATGACACGCATAAGGAATTAGTTTTGGGTTTTTTTTGGTACATATGTTATTAGTTATTCACTGTGGACATGTGTGTGTACTGACCTGTACGAAAGGTGGTAATGCCACTTATCTTTAGGGATAACATGCTATTTGCCAGTGACTTAAATGGGTGACATCACTTCATCAATCATCTTTTATTTTTCCAGCTGTCTTGTCAAGAAGGCTGCTGATTCAAGTATTCTCCTACATTTTATGTTGAACATGAAGGTCTTCTAAAATCAACTAAGGCGAGTTGTTATATATAATACACAGAAAACACACAGCTCATGAGAACTCAAAGAAAACGAGATGCTAGTTGGATTTCATTTTTTAAAAATAAGCATGGTCTCTAGATAAGGATTTTAATAGTAATGCAGGTGGGACCTGGTAATTTCCACTCTATTATTAACTCCCAGAGTGTCCATGTCAAATTCTGTTTACTTACTATCTTTGCTGAATATTATTGTCCTTAGTCAAAATTTGGGAAACCCTTAGACTTCAGGGGTTGTGACTATGTTCTTAGGAATAAGATGCAATTGGCTTCCATAAATTCCTAAACACACTTTCAAAAGGTGGCCTGAATTTCTATCAGCTAGTGCCTTTATTTGAAAACACTCTAGAGGCTAATATCTGAGTTGCTTTAAAATTAATGTTTACTTTTTAACTATTTTATTCTTATGTTTGTGAGAAAACTATTTTATTTCTATAATTACCACTGATTGGCTATTGCCATTACCATATTTCACGATTTGAATGAAGCTTCCTGTGTTGAAGAGAGTAATAGACCATCTTTGAGTCCTCTATTTTGCAATTACAGAGTTTATTAGGATGGCATTTTATAAAATATAGAAATGTCTCTTTTCTAGCCATTTAGTCATTTATTATACTTACTATTTAAAAATGATGCTCAAATGTACTTAATGGAAGAATGATTGTCACAGTTATGTAATTGTCAAAACAAAACTCTTAATTACGAATGAAAAAGTGTGTCACATTAGATTGGATAGAGAGAAATAATGGGAGGGGAGGGGAGGAGTAGGGGTGATAGGAAGGGCAATAGAATAGAATAGACATTATGATTGCTGTATGTATATAGGTGACTCTATGACCAGTGTGATTCTGCAATCTGTACAGTTAGAAAAATGAGAAATTATACCCCAATGATTTAAATGTATGAATTGCCAAGATCATTGTAATGTCATGTGTAGCTAATAAAAAAAATAAAATAAATAAATAAATAAATAAAAGAAAAGCAACACGCTGGTTGATTCCAACATGTTGGTTCCAAAGCCAAGAAGTTTCAAAGTAAGAAAGAGAAAATGTCTCTGTGAAAGAAAAGATTGGGTGAGATGTTAACAATATCCTAAGAAAAAACAATATAGCAAAGATCATGTGAAAGCACATGGTCCACTACCAGGCACAGAGTATGGTTTAGTATATTTTATGAATCAAACCTCTAGCTCTATTATCTATTTGGAGTAAAGGGTCCAGCCTAATAGCTTGAGTTTTATTGACCAATATCCATTATTCTGCTTCTAAGGGGTATTCTGACAACACTAAGAACACAGCTCATTTCTATATCTTGCTGTAAAATTTATGCTCTTCTGAAATTTGGCCAACGCCAAAGAGTGTCCTTTTAACTCCTCACACATAAACTTTCCTGATAATTATGCTTTATATCAACAATAGAACACTGATCATCCAATTTATGGTTTACCTCTGTTTTGTATCGGCCTTGTTCTCCTTAAATTTTGGCTCTTCCTTTTTGTAGATCTTTCATTTGAAGAAGATTAAGGAATAGAAGGAGAGCGGAAAGTGAAATAATTGACTTTTTAAATGATATGTAATATTTCATGATTATATATATTTGATCTATAATTAGGTAGAAATAAGACAATATGGTTTGTACCAGTTATATATTGCAAGCCACCCCAAAACTTAAAGGCCCAAACTACATTAATATTTATCTGGCTCATGCTGTGGTTGAACGATGTTCTAAACATTCACATGTTCAAAACTTAATCCTCAAATTCTTTTGTTGATAGTATTTGGAGGGGGTTTTAGGAGGTAATGGTTAAATGAGGTCATAATAGTGGAGTCCCCATGATGGGATTAGTGGCTTTATATAAAGAAGAAGGTCTTGAAGTTGCATGTTCCTGTTGTCTCACCATGTGATACCCTTTGCCATTGTTATGATACAGCAAGGAGGCACTCACCAGAAGCAAACTCATTAGATTTCCAGCCTACAGAATAATGGGAGAGAAACTCCTTCCTTCCTTCCTTCCTTCCTT